CAACGGGGTCAATCCACCCGCAAAACCAAAATCGACACAAAAAATGGCCAAAAACTGGATAATTACACCCAAAAAACCATCCAGAAAGCAACAAATCCGCCCAAAATCCACCCAGAAACCAACAAATCCACCCAAAAACCAACAAAACCCAACCACGCCTCGCCAAACTCGCCTGGGGCGGGCAACGGGGTCAATCCACCCGGAAAACCAAAATCGACACAAAAAACGGCCAAAAACTGGATAATTACACCCAAAAAACCATCCAGAAAGCAACAAATCCGCCCAAAAACCACCCAGAAACCAACAAATCCACCCAAAAAACCACCCAGAAACCAACAAATCCACCCAAAAACCCAACGAAACTCACCCACACCTCGCCGAACTCGCCTGGGGCGGGCAACGGGGTCAATCCACCCGGAAAACCAAAATCGACACAAAAAACGGCCAAAAACTGGATAAATACACCCAAAAAACACCCAGAAACCAACAAATCCACCCAAAAACCAACAAATCCACCCAAAATCCACCCAAAAACCAATGAAACCCAACCACGCCTCGCCGAACTCGCCTGGGACGGGCAACGGGGTCAATCCACCGGGAAAAACAAAATTGACACAAAAAACGGCCAAAATCCGGAAAAATACACCCAAAAAATCACCCAGAAACCAACAAATTCACCCAAAAACCAACAAATCCACCCAAAAACCACCCAGAAACCAACAAATCCACCCAAAAACCAACAAAACCCAACCACGCCTCGCCAAACTCGCCTGGGGCGGGCAACGGGGTCAATCCACCGGGAAAAACAAAATTGACACAAAAAACGGCCAAAAACTGGATAAATCCACCCAAAACCTGCCAAAATCTGGATAAAAACACCCAAAAAACCACCCAGAAACCAACAAATCCACCCAAAAACCAAGGAAACCCAACCACACCTCGCCGAACTCGCCTGGGGTGGGCAACGGGGTCGATTTACCCGGAGAGAGCCAAAATCTACCCGAAAACTGCCAAAATCTGGAAAAACCTACGCAAAACCCACCCAGAAACCAACAAATCCACCCAAAAACCAACAAATCCACCCAAAACCCAACAAATCCACCCAAAAAACCACCCAGAAACCAACAAATCCACCCAGAAACCAACAAATCCACCCAAAACCCAACGAAACCCACCCACACCTCGCCGAACTCGCCTGGGGCGGGCAACGGGGTCAATCCACCCGCAAAACCAAAATCGACACAAAAAACGGCCAAAATCCGGAAAAATACACCCAAAAAACCACCCAGAAACCAACAAATCCGCCCAAAAACCACCCAGAAACCAACAAATCCACCCAAAAACCAACAAAACCCAACCACGCCTCGCCAAACTCGCCTGGGACGGGCAACGGGGTCAATCCACCGGGAAAAACAAAATCGACACAAAAAACGGCCAAAAACTGGATAATTACACCCAAAAAAACACCCAGAAACCAACAAATCCACCCAAAAACCAACAAATCCGCCCAAAATCCACCCAGAAACCAACAAAACCCACCCACACCTCGCCGAACTCGCCTGGGGCGGGCAACGGGGTCAATCCACCAGGAAAACCAAAATCGACACAAGAAACGGCCAAAAACTGGATAATTACACCCAAAAAAACACCCAGAAACCAACAAATCCACCCAAAAAACAACAAATCCACCCAAAATCCACCCAGAAACCAACGAAACCCAACCACGCCTCGCCAAACTCGCCTGGGACGGGCAACGGGGTCAATCCACCCGCAAAACCAAAATCGACACAAAAAATGGCCAAAAACTGGATAATTACACCCAAAAAACC